TGCCGAAGACAAGTATTTTTACCTTTCTTTTTTGTTTTAAATTATTTCCCCCAGGTAAGGCAATAAAGCCGCTAAGAAGCAAGTTTATGTGAGAATGTGAGAAAAAGAAAAAAAAAACACTTTTTAGGAGAGAAATCGAAGCACCAGTGGTCTTTGGTTGTCGATCAGAAGCTAGAGAAAATGGGCGCCCCATGAAGTGGCCTTAAGTTAAACCATAACAACTCAGTAAATTCTTTCATGTGGCTTATTCAACCAGGGTGTAGGAGATCGTGACTCTCCACTGATATCTATGATCCCACTGAAAGGATAATGAGGAAGAAAAATCAAATTTGTTTCCTCTAACCTCAGGACACTCACTTCGATTGAAGCAGCCGAGGAGAAAAAAAAAGCCCTCCATGAGAATTAAACTGTCATACAGGGGGACAATTTCCGCGTGTATTTTTCGAACAAAGTTTGGATAGACAGGTTGCAGATGCCGGATGCATAAATGTGCATTTTAGCATTAAAAAAAAATTAAATGAGTAATACACAAATGAACCTACCTCCCAACATTACGTTTCTTCCATGAATCGTAGCCTTTGATATTGCTGGTGGAGATTTTATCCTTGTCAATCTCGTGTCGTTTTCATGGAAAATTGTCTTATGGAACCCATTTTTCATATATATATATATATATATATATATATATATATATATATATATATATGATTAACAAAAATAAAATACCAAATCGCATGGTGAAATGGTGAATAGCCTCTTTCGGCAGACGAAAATATCAGTCGTTTGTCTTATCAACTTATTACTAGAAATCCACTTGAATTAGATACCAAAGGATTTGTTACCTTTACTATATATATATATATATATATACCAAATATATAATTGGTATATACGGAATGAATTCAATAACCAACAATTACTATTCTTAAAAGAGTGCTCAATACAAAAGTAGAGCAGATATAATTATTTATTAAAAAAATTATAACATAAATATGTTTAAATCACTACAAAAGGATTTTATAACATATTTATATTATAATTTTTTAAAAAATAATTATATATATATATATATATATATATATATATATATATATATATATATATATATATATATATATATATATGTGTGTGTTTGTTTTAGTATTCTTTTCAATGTTGCATGTCCATTCATGATGTTGACAATCATGGCTCTCCACAATTTCCTGTCCTTTGTCGTTCATAATAACTTTTGCCTTTATGCCATCTCTCCCAAACCCTGCTCCATCATCCATTCGCTCAAACTCGCAGCTAGGTCGTTGTTTTAATTTCCTCTGGCCCTCACTCTGTCAAATTTCGCCGGACCCCTTTCAGTATGCGCACTCGAATGTCCGACTGCCTCTTCCTGATGTTAAGTATAAAAAATGTCTATTTTTTGTTGCCATTGTCTCTGGAATCACGTCGCTGTCCACATGTTAATTCTATCGCATTCTCAGCATCCTTCTCTAGAACCATATTTTTGTTATTTCAAGTCTATCTACAAGAAGATTCTCTAATTAGAAGTGAAAAGCATTTGCGTGTTTATGAATACGAATCTTTGCTTAATTTCTATCTGATTTGTGCAAACACCTTGGAATCACTAACTCTCACGTTCCCATTTTTGAACGCTTTTCAATTTGTCTCTTTACACACTGGCTGTTTTTGGTTGTGTAGACGTCAAACTACTTCTATGACAAGTGCGTCTTCCTTCTGTATTAATTAATATTAGCAGTGAAATTTATCGGCTTTTTCCGCTTTAATTTGCATCTACCTTAATCTCAGCATCAAATGAAGATGCTGACAAACCAATAATTAAATAGATGCATATATAAATGAATAAATAAGAACAAGAAAAACGTTTCAAGTAAAATAAGTTAAACAAAAAAAAAAGTAATACATTCCCCAGCAACCAGTCATTTCTAACAGGTTGCCTTTTCGCGGGAAATGCGTTTGTGGCGAATCAGGGAGGCGTGAAATTGCCATATTAGAAAAAAGGAAAGTTAACGGAAGCTAGTCAGTCAGTAAGGTGTCTAAATTCTGTTTATCAACGTCATTATTTATTTCCTGTCTCTATTAAATTCGATACTTATTTCATACTAAGCTTCATTACTGCCAGCGAAAGGACAATATCTCATTAATGTTTATTTTAATGCCTTTTATATATTTTTCTTGATAGAAAGCTTATATCTAAATGTCATATTATCTCCTGCCTAGTCAAGTGTACAGTGTTTTGAATCGGGGCGCGCATGCGTTGTGAAAGAGTATTTGTGTATGTGCAAAGACGCATATTTTAATGCTATTGCTAAATAAGCAATTGGCGTTCTTTCAGAAATTTAAACGAGGAACGACAATGGCGGCGGTTTTTCACAGACTGCGTGTGTGTGTCTGCCTCATAAATAGATTCAATTCTTTTGCTTGTTGAATAATATAAAGAAGATATAAGATGGGCTGAACTTTCATTCTAATTAGTTTTTGATGTGTTTGTTTTAATCTTATTTTTGTAGCTTTATACCAAGTATTAGATATGAAATCTAAATTAATCAGCATTTCTTAGATGAAACATTGTCGATTATTGTTAATTTTTACAGTATTTCTTACATCTTATTTGTCTTGCTTTTCCACCAAGTAGTAATAGTCTTAAGTTGTCTGAATTTCTTAGATGAAGCCTTGGCAATTATTATTCATTTTTCACTAGTATTTCTTTCATCTTATTTCTCTTGCTTTTCCACCAAGTAGTAATAGTCTTAAGTTGTCTGAATTTCTTAGATGAAGCCTTGTCAATTATTATTAATTTTTGACTAGTATTTCTTTCATCTTATTTCCCTTGCTTTTACATCAAGTAGTAATAGTCATAAGTTATATTCATTATTTACATTATTTGGATTATTATCCTCATCTTCATTGCCATATTCACAACGTTTCGGTCGTTGTATGCTCCGGCCTTCTTCAGGTGATTGGAATTTTGCTCGAACTCTTTATTTTGTCCACTGGGGTAGGTTGTTCTAGTTCCACGTGACATGCCACTTCAGGATGACTCAGTTATTTCCCTTTAACTCAACTATCCAAGAATTTTTTCGTTCACCACTACTGTATCCTGGCATTGAACTCACAACCATTTTAGGTCTAGTCACTGGATCTAAACATGATCTTTATCCATTAGGCCATGTATAATTATTAACCAAAAAGTAGGTGATTTTTATTTTAAATAAGAGAAACTTATTATACATCGCTAAAAATAGTGAGACATGATTTATTGTTAGAAAGTTTATGATGGAAAAAAACATATTTTTTGATTAAATTTACAAACTAATATCGATGCAACTGAATATATATATATATATATATATATATATATATATATATACATATATATACATACATATATATATATATATATATATATATATATATATATATATATATATATAAAATAACGTTTATGTAATATATATATATATATATATATATATATATATATATATATATATATATATATATATAGTTTATGAAAACTAGTTCATCCGTATGGGTAGGCCCAAGGAGGATAAAAATCCAGAGAGCTCAATGTAAATCCAGAGCAGATAATTTAAAAAAAAACAGACCACTTTAAGGTTCCATGTAATAAATTATTTCACCACAGCCCTTTTAAAAGGAGTG